TTTTAAAAATATATTATTCAAAATATATTATTGAAAAATATTAAAAATATATTAATTTATTTTTAAATATTATTAAAAATATATTATTTTAAAAAATAAAATTCAAATAAAAAAATTAAAATCATACTTTTATTTACTGTTTAATTAAAAAAATAAAATATATTATTTTATTTTTATATATTATTAAAAATTTATTATTTCTTATATTATTAAACAATATATTATTCTATTTTTATATATTATCCAAAATATATTATTAAAAATATATTATTTTTAATATTATTAAACAATATATTATTCTATTTGTATATATTATTCAAAATATATTATTAAATATATATTACTTTATTTTTATATATTATTAAAAAAGCATTTCTATATAATTTATTAAAAGTATATTATTTTTTAATAAAAACTTTTATTTATTTTTATAATAAAAAATAATAATGTCATTCCATTTCAGTCATATTCGTTCTGTATACCAAACGCATCAATGACAAAACATGTTTCATTCCATTCCCATAATCATTCCATTCCTACGAAATTTCATTCCATCATACCAATCATGCCATCACTATATCATCTGTCGGCCACTCACAACATCACACCTCACCTCCTCCAAGCTCCATACCCATTTTTTTCTTTTCTCAGGCAATCTCATCACCAATAATTCATTAGTCAATATTACCCTCATAAGTCATTCATTATTAGTTCCCCTATTCTCTCACCCAAATAACAGTGCCCTAGAAACAAGAAAACAAAAATCACACATGGAGTACCCCCATGGACGCCACCACGGCGGCCACCACCGGAGAGATGAGGAGGAAGAAGGCCAATACGGGCACCCGCCGTCCTTATTCGGCGGCGACGCACCTCCGCCGCTCTTCTTCGGAGGAAACGCGCCCCCTCCGCCCTTCTTCGGCGGAGACGCGCCCCCGCCGCCCTTCTACGGAGGAAACGCGCCACCGCCGCCGCCGCAGGTGTACCACACCTCCCACATGGGCCCGCCGGGTCCTGCCGCTGCGGAACACCCCCATCACCGTCCCCACATCCCGCCGACCGCCGACTACCACCACCATACGGAGGACGAGCTCAGCAACAAGCCCTCGGTCAAGATGTACTGCAAGGCGGACACAAATTATGCTCTCACCATTCGTGATGGGAAAGTCGTTCTTGCACCCGCCGATCCATCTGATCCTCGACAGGTGGCCTCAATTTTAATTCTTTAATTACTCTTTTCCTTCAAAAGAAGGAAAGAAAAGAAGAAAGAAATTCCGATTCTAATAAAATTATTTTTTGTGATTTGTGGTGTCAGCAATGGATAAAAGATGAGAAATTTAGTACGAGGGTGAAGGATGAAGAAGGTTTCCCAAGCTTTGCTCTGGTCAATAAGGCCACTAGGCAGGCCATCAAACACTCTATTGGCGCCACTCAGCCTGTAAAGTTCTTATATATATCATCTTAATCATATGTAAATGATTTGTTTGTTTGAGCTTTTATGAAATGAAACGTACATATATTTAACTTTAGTTTTAATAGTTTATGATCAATGGTATGAAATTGCGTTTTCTCATGATCCATATATGGCCTATACGTGTATTGGCTCTGTCCATGTGTTCAAGATAGTTTCACGAAAGTGTTGTTGCTTTATTACATAATGTTTTGAGTTGATAAAAGTTAAAAGTAACTCATAGGATGCCTCAAAATGAGTTGGTTTGAGATAAAATTCTTTTGTAGGGGTGTATGAGCTCTTAAAGAGCTTATTTTTGCATCTTTTTAGGAGTTAAGACAGGTTACTCCCACACACATGATACCCTTTATCTATCACTAGCTAGAATTAACAAAGCCAGAAAAAAATAGAATTAAATGAAACCTAAATCAGAAAATCTTTGTCTGTATAGACTGTATTGACAAATTAAAAATCTTGTTCTTTCCTGGACAGGTCCAGTTGACGGACTATATTGCCAACGGATTTGATGAATCAATTTTGTGGACTGAAAGCAAGGACTTGGGAGATGGTTACCGAGCAGTAAGGATGGTTAGCAACATTCGCCTTAACATTGATGCTTTCAATGGAGACAAAAATCATGGAGGAGTTCGTGATGGCACTAATATTGTCCTTTGGGAGTGGAAAAAGGGTGATAATCAACGCTGGAAGATTGTTCCCTACTGTAAGTGCATTTACATTTATAAGATACTCGTTATATATGTTTAATGGTGTTTATAGTTGGTGTTATTAATTTGATCATGTCCTGCTTCTGCTGATTCTTAATTCTTTTCTTGGTGCAGAAATGCAATTATGTCTGGATTATTATGATATTTGGAGGGAGAAAGCAGCTGTTTCGTTTGTTGGCTTTGTGTTAGTGTGAAAATAACAAGCTTATACGGCACTTTGGTGCTGCGCTTGTGTGGCTCGAGTTGTGTTAATAAATTGGAGGAACTTGGTGTTCTGTGAAGTGGTTTGTACTCGAAATTTAATTGTGTTTCTCTTTATCGTGTATTCGTATGAAGCTTATTTATCTTGATGTGTTGTTTTTATGAGATCACCTGGTGAGAGTAGATTTAAGTGATTTCTCAGAGGCAAACGAGGCTGTAAGATGGGTGGGAAAAATACTTTTAATACACATTGATGGATGATTATTAAGATTTACAGGTTTTGTTGATTACAAGCTTTAATTTTATGATTTCTTTAGGGGTACTGTACTTTCCTTTTCTAAATCGAGGAGGTTTATTTGCTAATTAAGGGAAGGGAATAAATTGCACCTTTGTAATCGACGAACCTTCACTTCTTTACAGTAACATAATAAAACCAAAATTTCATGGGTTCTTCCAAATCATGCTTATAATAAGTTCTTTACAGTAACTTAATAAAACCAAAATTGCAGGGGTTCTTCCAAATCATGCTTATAATGTAGTTAATTAACTGTTATGAGAAGAGTTGATTTTAATCAACTGAATGATACTATCAGAACAACTAACAAATGTTTGCAGAAACTGAGAATGTTAAACATTTACATAAAATTTTACTTCACTAGTAAAAGATAACTTCTCCGAAAATTCATCACATCATAGGGAGACATTCAAGCACAATGCAAATTAAATGCACATAAAAATTTGTCCATAAACTTCTTAAAAATTGTCAACAAAGAAAGAATGAAAAGCAAATTGGTCGTGCTGTCGTAGGCATCCAAATTAACCTTGCTTAAAAATATGTAGTAGCGTGAGCAAAGATCATATCCACGTGGAGAAGTAAACTAAATCTATTAACTATGTGATCAAAGAAGGGGTTTTTGAATTAATGATCTAATTAAACTAGAAATTACCTATCAAACTAACAAATAAATAAAACAAAACTAAATAAACAAAAATAAATATAATATGAATATGCCTTGGTTGAATTGATTTTCACCCTAGACTGTTCCACTGATCATTGATGCAAAAATATAAACTCACAATCCACGCAACTGCCGTTGAATATAAATTCCATCTCCTGGTTTTGTCACGCAAAATAAATCCTTCTACGAGACTCTTATAACTAGTTAATTCCCAACATCGTGAAGAATTATTCTAGCAATAGCATTAAATACAAGAGACCGATATTCCAAGCAATAAATAACTAATCCGTTAAATATTAACTTGTTCAATTATTTCGCCTAAGAACGACAACGCCTAAATCCGGTCAATCATGTATCTTAGTTGCTTCTAGTGAAAGACACATGATCTAAATCCGACTCAAGTATCAATCACGCAATAGATCATAAGCATAGAATAATAGGTGGCCAATCCATCAACTACACATAACAATCATAAAAATATGCACACGAAACATTGATGCGGAAAATAGTCATATTGAAATAAAAACTAATTCGATCTCACAGTAGTAGGTCTAGGTTTCGATCGTCTTCAACCAAGACAAAGATAAATTAGCCGCGCAGGGCTATCATAAAATAATCCAAAAGAAAAGAAAAAGAAAAAAAAAAATAAAGATGAGAGAAGAGAGAGCCGTTGATGTTGTGTTCTATTTTGCGTTCTTTTCTCCCAGCCGCCCTCCTTGCTCCTCAATTAACCCATATTAAGGATTATATACGTCCTAGGTTTGTTTCATGCTGCTTTAAGTTCTCATGGGCCAAATCCGTTAGTTTCCTGGCCCAATAAATAATCTGTTCTGAATAACACCAACATGGCCATGTTGCAATTCAATGTAAAACTGACATTGCCATGTTAGTTCCAGCGGTTGGTACTTTAAAGTTAATGTTCACTGTGCACAAAAGTATTCAATCTGCATAAAAAATCAAAAACCAGTAGTTTCCACTCGAAAATACAAGATAATGTCAAACATATGTCAACTAAACTCAAATATCTAATATAAATCCTAAATTAATTCACTAAATCGACACATATTTTTGACTTATCAAATATCCCCAAGCTTAAACCGATGCTTGTCCTCAAGTATCAAATCAAATCCATCATCTCACCTCATAGTCATCATCTATCTTCTAATGTCAACTCAAAAAATATTTTGCATGTAATGAACAAAGGTTAAGGTCAAGTCCTCATCAACCGACACCAATAAAAATAAACTCAACAATCACATAACTTAAAACACATGAAATCAACACTTCTCGCGAGATTCACTCTTGCACTCAAAAGTGTATAGGCTTGATATTAAGCTTACACTCAGGTCAAGACATCGAAGATTTTTACCATAAGCTTGCAAAGATATAACATCCAACCACCCAAAATGAAAATGAATAAACACAAGATCAAAGGGTTGAAATCGGGTTGTAATAAGGCTTAAGGTAAGGTGGGATAGGAAAGATGTTGGCTAATGGAATCGAAGAAATCATACAAACTTTTCATAAATCGAGCTTAACCAAAATGTAAAGCAAGCTAATCATGCGATCACGATATGCATCCAACATAAAAAGTAATCTAACACAATGCTCTTTCAACTTTTTTTCTTTCTTTTTTTTTTTTCTTCTTTTTTTTCAATTTTTTTTTATTCAGATTTTTTTCTTTTTCTTTTTTTTTCTTCTTTTTTTTTTTTGGGAGAAGAGAAGATGAACTAGTAGATGTTGGATAGAGAAACTACATACAACGCACGATAAAATATAAGAACATAAACCATAAGCTCTTATTCAACTAAAATAAATTCATAAAAATGCTTCGATTCAAG